CCCTCCCTGGTATTTATCCCTCTGATATATTTATAGAGAGCAATCATATCTCCCCCTCAATTTTGCTCCTCTTTCCACTGGGTACAGCTTCCCTTACCATCTGGGAATGCTCCAGCACCTATCCCAGTCCTGTCCTCCAAGGCTCAACTACTGTGCACCTCCCTGTGCGGTCTCAGGGCTTGTCTTCACTATGGTGGTAAGTTGATCTAAGTTGTGCTACTCCAACTATGTGAATAACGTAGCTGGAGTTGACATAGCTTAGGTCGACTTACCCCGGTGTCTTCCTTGTGCTGTGTCGACGGGAGATGCTCTCCTGTCAACTTACCTTAATCTTCTCAGGGAGCTGGGGTACCAGGGTTGACCAGAAAGTGCTCTGCCATCAATTTAGCAGGTCTTCACTAGACCCGCTACATCAACCCCCATTGCATCCATTGCAGCAGCATCAATCTCCCCATAGTGAAGACCAGCCCTCATACTTCTCTTGGCAGATTCTAGCAGCCTTCACCTCATACACCCCTGAGAAGCTCTAGCAGGCTCCTCCGCAATCTGCAGCCAGCAGGGGAGACTGCTTTGCTGGTAGCATGGAAGGTGGGCTGCACTGCTTGGATTCCTCCTTGCCCTGCTCTCACTGAATAGAGTAGGCTCCTACTCAATTACAAGCCCCACTCTTTCTACACCATAATGGCGGGGATACAGGGGTGAGGCTGCTGTTGCCAAATTATGTGGGAGTGATGGCTACTCTTATATATTTAATCTGTAAAACTATTACTAATACATGAGAGCACACAGGAATTGCAGTCATTGAATCCTGTATGTTAAAAATAAATACAATTCTTAAATGCCATTACATACTTGACTGAAAAATCAAAACACTCAATTGTTATATAGTCACAAATAAGCCTCTTGTAAAAAAAATCACAATTAAGTAACTACTTCTCTTCTCAGTCTCACATATCCCTAGACAGAATACCAGTAATTATCAAGTGCATTCTTAGCAACAATAAAGTTGATGACGTACGTCAGGAGGTACCATAAACTCCAATAATAGCATGACTGTCATTTAATATGGGTTGTTAAGATACCCTTTACTATCAAATGTGTCTGGAATATCAGCAAAGCTAAGGAGATAGAAGGTGTACAATGTTCAACAGCCACTAAAATTTGTTTGAACCATTTTATATCCCTTTTTACAATGACAAGGCTGAAGATACCACTGGATTAATCAATAACATTGATGTTATAGCTGGACAAACAAATCTACGTTTTTGAATATGATATGAATATGTTTTAAATTTTTTTTTTTTTTTTTAAGAAAAGTTCAGAGAAACTTCAGTAGAGTACTGACCCCTTCAGAACTAACAAAAAAAATGTAGTAATGAATATAGAACTCAATAAAAAACTAATAAAATAATGCTGTGTTTGACTTTTTTCTGCTTTATGAAAAAAAGCTACTTAATGGC